GTCAACGAGAGTCCAGGTACACAAAATTTATGCATGGGTGGGGTCCCTAGGCCTGGCCGATGATCAGAGCCAATCAGGCCATCTCACCCAGTCCCAATCAGGGCAGGGCCTGCCAGACAGGGGGAGGTTGGCTGGCCAGGGGAGGTTGGTTGTGGGTACACACACACACACACACACACACGATACCTCAGTTAAACCTGAATTATATCTCATGGTCTTACAATTTTATTTGTCAATGATACCTCAATAGAGCTGGGCGTGGGGAGAAGAGGGAGTAACCACAGTGTGCAAATGAGCACCATTGCCCAGATGGAAAGATGCCTCAGACTGATCGGGATCCCAGAGTTCATAGAGCCCAGAGCTTAGTGTGCAGCACAGACCAGACATTTACTCTGGAGATATTTGTTCTTAGCACTAAAAGGTGAAGGCTTTTTAGTCCATGTGATCAAAGTTGAGGTCAAAATAAAACATCACATACTTACCTTAAACAATGCATTTTAACTTAAAAACATACAAATGCATATTCTTTTAATGCCTTTCAGATGAAGAGGAAGGAAATTATCGGACCTACAGATCACCACATGACTAACACATTCTGTGATTTTGCTTCCAGGTTTCTGAGGAGGAGTGGAACTCAATGACACCTGTCAAGCATCTGCTCCTTCAGCTGTTGGATGATTTTCCCAGTCTTATACATTTTTTTGCCCAGATCTGTTTGAACAGCCATTATTTTTAGTGGCTCATCTTTATAGAACATTCCACTTAGTTCTCATTAAAATAACTTTTTCCTTTTCAAGCTCTTGAAACCCATGAACGGAGAGGTTACTGGCTTAATTCCTGTCAGGGCACATGCCTGGCTTTCGGGCTCGTAGGGGGTATGCAGGAGGCAGCTGATCTATGTTTCCCTCTCATCATTGATGTTTCTCTCTCTCTTTCTCTCTCTCCCTCTCTCTCTCTCTCTCTCTCTCTCTCTCCCCCCCCCCTCTCTCTCTCTCTCTCTCTCTCTCTCTCTCTCCTTCCCTCTCTCTTCCTCTCTAAAAATCAATAAAAACGTATTAAACATGCACACAATTGTATACAAACAATACTTAAATAAAAAGTTTAAAAAAGACACATCCTGGCGGTCAATTTAAGGCTCCAAGTGTCATCATCTGAACAAACCAGAAGCACCTGGGAGCGCCGGCCTGGGCTGTCTCAGCGATACTGTCCTCACAGGTCAGCCCTTTGGTCAGTGACCGAGCGGCCCTGACCCCATTGTCCACCCTCCACACCGCTTTTCTCCCAATTCTCTTAGCTGACACCCTGCACTGGCTCGTGGCGCTGCATGCTGGGATTCACGCAACAACTTCTGAACTAGCCTGCGCCTCGCGGTGTCAATGCCAGCCTACCTTGCCTAAAAACAGCTCTCCCTTTGCCAAAACGGTTTGGCTCAGTGGATAGAGCCTTGGCCTATGGATTCCGGTCAAGGGCATGTACCTTGGTTGTGGGCACATTCCTAGTAGGGGTTGTGCAAGAGGCAGCTGATCGATGTTTCTCTCTCATCGGTGTTTCTAGCTCTCTATCCCTCTCTCTTCCCCTCTGTAAAAACTTAATAAAATATATTTTAAAACAAAACAAAACAAAACAGCTCTCTCCACCCCCCAGTGATTTTTAGGGAGAATGGAAGGGAGGGAGGGAGAAACACCAATGTGAGAGAGACACACTGATGGTTTGCCTCCTGCACTCGCCCAGACTGGGCTGGGGATCCAACCTCCCATCCAAATAAGTGCCCTTGATTGGGATGGAATCTAACCACTGATCAACACTGTCCAGGGCCTGAAAAAGTACTTTTGTTGTGTTTCACAACATTCAGCTAAAATGCTTCTCAATGTCCTGTAACCAACCTTGTGCTTGTTTTCAGGACATTTGTCATCACTTTCAACCCGAGTCTCCTCCTCACCCACCATACCCTTGGCTGCAGTCTCCTCACTGCCAGCAAGCCCGGCTCCTTGCTGGGGAGTCATGCCCGGTGCTTCCCCTTGCTAGTCCCCCAGTCCGAAGCCCAGTCATCCCTGGGGGCTGGTAGAGACGGGCGGGGCGGGGGGAAGAGGGGGGCAGAAGGGTGTGAAGGAGGTGGAAGAAAATAACTGAAATTCTTTGTGTTTTCATGCCGTAAAGGATAATTTTATGTGAATATACTAATTTCTTTTCACTCAAAACTGTGAAGATAAAGGAACATAAACTATGAGGCAAAGGGAAGATGGTCTAAGCATTTGTGTCTTCAGGTTTTTACTGGCATAACGATCCTTTCAAGCCCGGAGCCACTCCACACTGAAGGCTGAAGATGAGAAGAAAACAGGTGCCACGTGTGCTCCCGCAGGAGCTGGTGGTAGCAAATCGTTTCGCTTCAAACCCGCGTGGATGCGTTGGAGACTGGAAGGAAATTACTTTCCGGTGGATTCAATCCAACATTACGCCAACCTTTGCATTTACTGTAGACACTATTGTAAGTACTAGAGATTACATTTTCATTGCCAAAACAGGAAAATAGCAGCTACTATTAAGGTAATGAGATGCAAAAGTCATTCCCCAGCATTGCTTTGAAAATATACCTTGATTAAGAGAAAATCTGACTTTTTTCAAAATTTTCAGCCATCTACTGTTGGCTTGATCATCACTCTTTTTAAAAAAATATATTTTTTATTGATTTCAGAGAGGAAGGAAGAGGGAGAAACATCAACGATGAGAGAGACTCCTTGATTGGCTGCCTCCTGCACATCTTTACTGGGGACGGAGCCCACAACCCAAGCATGTACCCTTGACAGGAATCAAACCCACGACCCTTCAGTCCGCAGACAGACGCTCTATCCATTGAGCCAAGCCAAATATCAACAGTACAATGATTGAAATTTCCTTTGAGAGCCAAATTTTTTATTTATTTATTTTTTTTTATAAACTTCTAATGCCACTTCTTCAAAATAGACTCGCTCAGGCCGTGGTATTTTGTGGAAGAGCCACATTCAAGGGGCCAAAGAGCCCGCATGTGACTCTCGAGCCGCAGTTTGTTGACCACTGGGCTAGGGCGATCATCACTTTCTTACCCTGTTTCCCCGAAAATAAGACAGTGTCTTATATTAATTTTTGCTCCCAAAGATGCACTAGGTCTTATTTTCAGAGAATGTCTTATTTTTCCATGAAGAAGAATACGGTACACATTTATTGTTAAATGAAAATAAAGGAAGTTTATTACCTGTATATGGTACGGTAGTACGGTAGTTGTCAACATAAACCAGACAAACTGTGAATCCTACCGTATCAAGGATTTACTCATTTATTCAATGACAATCATGTGATCATCTTCTGGAACATCATCATAATAATTCAATTCCTGAATTTCCTGGTGATTTTCTTGTGACTCCATTTCTTTCAGAATCAGTGGACCAAATCTCTCAATTTTAGCCTGGGGGGGCCTTATTTTCAGGGGATGCCTTATATTTCACTCAGAAGGAAACCTGTAAGTAGGTCTTATTTTTGGAGGATGTCTTATTTTCGGGGAAACATGGTATTTGACCCCATCCAATTAAACACCAGTGTTTCTCATCTCTTCAGCAAAGGGCAACTTTTTCCTCCTATTTCTGTGGACACAGGATTAAGTCTGAACGATTTTGCCCCAAATCGGACTGGACTGCATTAACGTCTCCACTCGAAGGGATCCCAGTTCATCCTGGGCACTTTGTTCTTAGACAGCTTTGCGCCATTGTTGCTTTCTTGTCTCCTCTGTGCTCACGCCTAGAAGCCATCTAAACAGGAAACAGCTTTCCAATTCTGTGAAGGTCTCAGGTGAAGCTCCGCCTGCACCCAGCACCTGCCCTGCCATCGGTCAGCCCAGCACAAAGCGGGGATGATTTTTGTTGCAAATACGAGCTTCTGGAGCAGCACACTGAAGACCATCATGTTCTGCAAACAGTGACACAAATTGGGAAAGCATTGGTTTCCGCGTGAGTGTCCTTCACTGTCTGTCTCTGGCCACCTTAACACTGCTCTCAGAGCACCGCCACCAGCTACACCGTCTTAAGGCCGTCAACTGTATGCCCCGGGTGTTACCTCAACGGAGCTAATCACAGTAAGTATTTCAAGCTGAGCAGAAACTGGACTAGCAGGAGCTCCTGCGGTACCTTGTACAAATGCGAGGATCTGTCCATTCTGTTCTTTAGGCAGGCTTGCTTTTACCAAATCAATTTTATTTTGTAGAATCCAAATATGCTTTAGTTTCATGATTTCTGTAGCAGCCCGGTGCTCAGAAGTCTGAGGCTGAGGACAAGACTCAGACCAGCTACCAACAGAAGAGCTGCCTCCATCACTGCCGCACGGTTCAGCATTCAAAATATCGTGGCTAAGCCAGGCCAGTGTGGCTTAGTGGTTGAACAGTGACCTATGAATCAGGAGGTCACAGTTCGATTCCTGGTCAGGGCACCCAGTAAGGGATGTGCAGAGATGACAGATCAATGATTCTCTCTAACTCTACCTTCCTCTCTGAAATTAATAAAAATATATTTAAAAATATATCTTTCTCTAACTGGTTTGGCTCAGTGGATAAAGTGTCAGCCTGCGGACTCAAGGGTCCCAGGTTCGATTTTGGTCAAGGGCATATACCTTGGTTGCAGGCACATACCCAATAGGGAGTGCGCAGGAGGCAGCTGGTCGATGATTCTCTCTCATCGATGTTTCTAACTCTCTATCCCTCTCCCTCTCTGTAAAAAATTAATAAGATATATTAAAAAATAAAAATAAAAAATATATCGTGGCCTGGACATTGACAAAGGAAACATGTCCGGCTAATGTGAAGTTGCCTTTGGCCCCTGGAGTGTCTGTAGGAAACTCATGGCATGTACTACATCCATAGGACCTGTAACATTCTGGAGGAGGACAACTTGGGCCATCCAGTTTTTAAACCTTAGCGTTGGTTATCCAAGCTTGACTATAATATTTCTTTCTAGTCCATTTTTGAACCCGACAGTATGAACCCCAGAAACAGCTTTACAACTGTGGATTTCCCAGGAGCTACATGAGCAATCGTATTGATATTAACTGTCGATATTTATGGTGGCTTGTCTGCTGAGAACTTCCTGTGAACGTGGCGTCAATTTGGTAACATCCAAAGCTGTGAGATCCTGGGGAGAAAGATGCTGCAGTTAATTATTCAGCACCTATCTGCTTCTTTTATATTATTCTGTTCAATAAGGGCCCCATTCAGGCCCAAAACAGTGTAAAGCTGTCCCAACTTCTGTAGTCACACAACTCAGGATTTTTTTTTTAATTGTTAAGAAAGCATTTGATACTTACAGCTAATTAGACTACTAGATACTGTAGGAAAGACTCCTCTGCTGTATTTCTTTTTTTGTTAATTTATCTTTATTGTTGAAAGTATTATAGATGTCCCCCATCCCCTCCATTAATCCCCTCTACCCAGCTCCTGCTCACATTTAAAAAAAAATATTTTATTGACTTTTTACAGAGAGGAAGGGAGAGGGATAGTGTTAGAAACATCGATCAGCTGCCTCTTGCACCCCACCCCACTGGGCATGTACCTGCAACCAAGGTACATGCCCTTGACTGGAATCGAACCTGGGACCCTTGAGTCCACAGGCCGATGCTCTATCCACTGAGCCAAACCGGTCAGGGCCCTGCTTGCCTTTATTGATTGATTTCAGAGAGGACTAGAGAGGAAGAGAGAATCATTGAGCGGCTGCCTCCTGCACGCCCCTCGCTGGACATCAAGTCTGCAACCCGGGCATGGGCTCTGAGGAGGAATGGCACCGGTACCTCCCGGTTCATAGGTCCACGCTCAGCCCCTGAGCCCCGCCGCCCGGGCTTCTGCCCAGGTTCATGTTTTCTCAGCGGTTAGGGGTCCAAGGAAGTCACTCCTAATAAATACTCAAGACCCGACAGATAGGACTTGGTACTCCAGCATGAACTTTGAGTTCTCATCTTGCCTCTTTCACTAATTAACTGTGTGACCAGAAAAACCTGCTCAGCTTCAGTGAACTCTAACTGTAGCCTGGAGCCCTGGACGCCTATGCGGGTGAAATAAAAGTAAATGTATGCAAAGCCTGCAGCGCAGTCCTATGGGGTGAAATAAAGGTAAATGCATGCAAACACTCAGCGCGGTCCCATCCGCGTGAAATAAAGGTAAATGATTGCAAACCCCGCAGCGCAGTCCCCGGCCCACGCTGGGGGTCAGCCGCCGCCCTTGGCCTGGCTCAGGCCAGGGGAGCCCCAAGGTCAGTGGTTTCGGTAAGAAAGGCCCTGGGGAGTGTGAGCGTGGGTGGGGGAGGGCCGGGCCCTGCAGCTCCCGGCGCCCAGGACCCGCCTTCCCCGCGGCCACGCTGGGGCGGCGCCAAGGCCGTGCGGGGAAACGCGAGGCTTTCCTCCCGTAAAGCGGCCCGACCCCGGGCTGCCCCGACGCCAGGGACGCACTCCGGCCCCGCGGGGCGGCGCCGGCGCGGGCGGAGCGCGGACCGCACCATCTGGCACGGGGGGGGCGGGGGCGGCCTTCCCCGGGGCGGCATGGCAGACAGCACGGCACGGCGCCCCGGCCCGCGGCCCACTTGGAGGACCTCTATGGCCTCCCTCCCCGCGTTCCCGGGGTCCGGGGCGCCGGCGGGGTGCGGGCGGGGCGGGTCTGGGGACCGAGCACCCCCCCCCGGGGTGGGAGCGGCGCGCAGGGGGCGGGGCCTGGCGCAGGGGGCGGGGCCTGGCCGGCGGCGGTGTCCTTGCGGCGCGGCCCGGGTCGCGGCTCACTGGTTCGACCCGAGCGGTCAGCGCTTTGCGGCGAGGACTTCGGCGGCGGCGTCACCATGTTGTGCCGGGCGGCGTGCAGGTGAGGCGCCCGGGCCGCGGCGCAGGGGACCGGCCCGGGTGGGCGGCACGGACGGCGGGCGGCGCGGGCCGCGGCGGGTGGAGGGCACCTTCGGGCGCAGGGGGCGCGGGACGGGCGTGCGGGGAGCGCGTCCCGGAGGCCCAGGCGCGGGGCCGCTGCGCGGGCTGGTGCTCCAAGGCCGGTGGCGGGCGGGTGGCGGGCGGACGATGGAGGGACAGGCGCGTGGAGGGACCGGTGTGGTTGTCTCTGCAGCGCGAGCCGGGAGCTGGTGCCCGCCCTGGGCGCCCTGGGCTGCCGCCGGAAGCACACCCTCCCCGACCTGCCGTACGACTACGGCGCGCTGGAGCCGCACGTCAGCGGCCAGATCATGCAGCTGCACCACAGCAAGCACCACGCGGCCTACGTCAACAACCTCAACGCCACCGAGGAGAAGTACCAGGAGGCGCTGGCCAAGGGTGGGTGCGGGCGGCGGGCGGGTGCGGGCGGCCTGCCCCGGACCCGGAGAAGCTGGCTCCTGGGAAACGGGACCATCTCCGTGAGGAGGCGCCCTCTGCTCACCGGGTCTCCCCACGTGTTCTCGAGCTCCACGGGGAAAGTACCCGCCTGTGTGTTTATTTACTAACATTTAGAATTCCGTTAGAATAGAACATGGAGCTGCTCTAGTTTTAAGAGAGTCCGGCTGACAGAACCGCTAGCATTGGGCTCTGTTTTGTGTCCGGGGTGTGTATGGGAACAGTTTTAGTGTTTCTGTACAAAAAGCGATTACATTTCTCAACCTGTGAGTTTAAGCCGAGGAGGTAATTGACAGTCGTGTTTCCAGACCACAGATATGTCTTTATGATCTACACGTTAAGGAAATGTGTGTTTTTTCTTATCTAGACGTGTTTTTATTGAATTTCAGCGCGATGAACCCGTGGCTTAGACAGCGGCATGTTGTTGGCTGGGGGCATCTAGTGGGAAAATGTGGTATTTCAGCTGATTGTGTGCCAGGTGAATGGCTAAGCAAAACCCAGAGGAAGTTGCCACATTCTGGAATGTTTACTTCTGACAGTCAGAGAAACCTCAAGTGTGGCACAAGGTTCTGACTACGAGAAAAGCTTGGGTGATTTAGGACATGACAGATACGGGAAGGAGGTGGGACCAGTGAGGCTGGGGAATATCCCAGTTGTGAAACTAGTTCCTACATGACAACATCTTGACGCCCCTGAACCTGTCTCCTCAATATTTTAAAATCAGCTTCCTTTCACTCCTTTTCTTGTGCACTTGACTCTTCCCTTTTTAATGAAAGCCACTGAGAAAAAAGCTTTATATTCTATTCTATACTGATCATAAATTAATAAGTAGCCACAGACTTTTATTTAAAAAGTTATATTTTAAAAATCATTAAAGATTTAAATTTTCATGTTTGAAATTTGGGATTAAAGGTGTATAACTAAGATTACATTATCAGTCTCATCACATGTAAGTAATACTTTCCAAAGAAACATATTTAATTTTTACTGTTTAACAGAAGGAAAAAAGCTGAAGCAAAGCTGAAGAAAATGTTGGACTTCAGAAAAGTGTTCTTAAAAGCAGATTCGAAGTCCCTCCATTTCTATTAAAATGATGAACTAAACTTGACGTTTTACAAAGAGGAAAATAGTACATAGAATGGGTGGAAAAGTAAGCATTTAAAAAATGTATTTGCATTTTAACATTTCAGGTGATGTCACAGCCCAGGTAGCTCTCCAGCCTGCTCTCAAGTTCAACGGTGGAGGCCACATCAACCATAGCATTTTCTGGACAAACCTGAGCCCTAATGGTGGCGGAGAACCCAAAGGTTGGTGTGTATGGTGCTGGCTTAGCTGCATTTTGTGCGTGATAGGAATGACTGTTTTTAATGCTCCCCTAATTTTTCCGAGGTGTCATACTGGCATATTTTTCACAGCAAGGGGTGCAGTCGTGTTGTGGTAACTTTGAAAGGACCTATGTAAGAAGGGAGTGCATTCAGGGAGTTGTGTCCTCAGACGGTATATACATACACGCAGTGTCACGTATGGTGTTGACTTGTGATTGGAACGTACTGCGCTATACATTAGGGAAAGACTCAGAAATGGTTTTTAGAAAAGACAAGCTTTCACTCACTAGCACTAGGATCTGGGGTGAGAGACTTCACCGTTCTGAACCTTACTTTCTTCCTCTGTATGATACGGGGAGAATAATAGGACTGTTTGAGAATTAAATGTTGTTATATGTAAAGGACTTGGAATAGTGCTTTTTGCTATTGTTTTACTGTTCTTCCTGAGTGAGAACAAGTCCGTTGTCCCAGAACACCTAGGTAACGAAGGAGTCAGAGCTGAGGGCTGGCCACGCCCCTGGCTCACTTGAGGCTGAGTGCGGAGCTCTGGGGAGATGTGGACGTGAACACAGCTCGCTCCCTGTTCCTGGCTTCCGGGATGTACCCTAAATTTCTGTGTGTATGTGTGTGTTTTAATCGTGTTCTAGAAGACATCTTAGGCACTTGAAATAAGCAATTTTATTAGGAAGTAGTAATGAATGAGAAGCTGGATAATTTATTTTTTGTGACTTAGGTCTTCAGACTATGATTTAAGAGTGCTGAGTTTCTGTGAGTTACCAGAGTATCAGATTCACCTTTATTCAATCAACAGGTCTTGGTACTGTTTGCCACTTAGTATTATCCGTGCCGCCTTAGTCCTCATTGGTGCTTATGGCAGATGATTCCTTTGAACAGGGAGGTGATGTTTTTGGCCTAGTTGATTTGGTTGATGTTCTCAGTCTAGAATTATATTCTGTATTGCCACGGAATAAAAGTCCTGTAGCTCTTCAAGTGTATCCTTAGTTCAGTAATAGAAGAGAGAAAATAACTCTTTTTAAAATGATATAATTGAGATAGGAAAGATCGAGGCTGCCTTGGGGAAGAAATATAACAACCATAACGTTTTAGTCCCAAATTAAGACAGAATAGGTAGGGTAGAAGTCAAAGTAAAATTTTCTACTGAGGGGAACAAAGAAGGCTGATGGGAACAGTTCCTTCTCCCCGTGAGGGGAGAAATCCCTCCGCAGTGCTTCGGTGACAGACGTGATTTCAGATTGTGGGCCTGGGTGTTGCCCCGTCAGGTAACGCCGCGTTGTGGAGGCCACTGGGCTTTGTGTGTCTTCTGCGGGGTGAGGTCTCGTTGTGTCTTGGCCATAACAAGAACATTTTAATATATGTAATAAAATACCATAGTTATTGCCTCCTGTTCATTTGTGAGTGTTCTTTGGATTTATTTTATTTTATTTTTAAAAACTTCTTTATTGATTATGTTATTACATATGTGTCCTTATCCCCCATCTTTGCATTTTTTTTAAAATAGGGGAATTGCTGGAAGCCATCAAACGTGACTTTGGTTCCTTTGCCGCGTTTAAGGAGAAGTTGACTGCGGTGTCTGCTGGCGTTCAAGGCTCAGGTTGGGGCTGGCTCGGTTTCCAAAAGGAACAAGGACGCTTACAGATTGTTGCTTGTGCTAACCAGGATCCCCTTCAGGGAACAACAGGTTAGACTGGAACATTGTTACCATCATTCAGGGGAGATGGCTCACTGTAAAGCATTGAACTTGAATACAGAAAACTAGCAGGTTCATGCCATCATAAGTCTCTAGATTTATTTGAGCAAATCTTTTTTTTTTTTTTTTAATATATTTTATTGATTTTTTACAGAGAGGAAGGGAGAGAGATAGAGAGCTAGAAACGTCAATGAGAGAGAAACATCGACCAGTTGCCTCTTGCACACCCCCTACCGGGGATGTGCCCGCAACCACTGTACATGCCCTTGACTGGAATCGAACCTGGGACCTTTCAGTCCGCAGACCGACACTCTACCACTGAGCCAAACCGGCTTCGGCTATTTGAGCAAATCTTAACAGATGATACCCAGAGTCTTTTAAGCAAAAGTGCTTTAAAAGTTGTTGATATTTTGAAATCTTAAATCTTATAAAAAAAAATAAGCACGTGTGCCTGGTCGGGTGTGGCTAAGTGGATGAATGTTGACCTATGAACCAGGAGGTCACGGTTTGACTCCATGTCAGGCCATGTGCCTGAGTTGTGGGCTCTGTCCCCATTAGGGGACGTGTAACAGCTGATCGATGATTCTCATCATTGATGTTTCTGTCTTCTCACTCTCTGAAATCAATAAAAATATCTCTCTATATATAAAAGCCTAAGTGACCATCTGACTGGTAGCTATGACGTGCACTGACCACCATGGGGCAGCAGCGCTCAACGCAGGAGCTGCTGAGCTGCAGTGACTTGGCAGCTACGGTTCTCAGGTGATGCACTCAGAATCTGAGAGAAGGGAGCCTGATTCCAGGGTGCATCACCCAAGAGCCTCCCTCTTGCAATCTGGGACCCTTTTGGGGGTGTTGGAGAGCCAGTTTCGGCCTGATCCCCATACCGGGCCTCAAGTATATGTATAAAAAGCACATGTAATTTAATGATACATTAACAAAAAAAGTCTTAAACATAAACTGCTTCATTTGATAGTGAGTTCATTCAGCTTACATAATTATATGCACTAAAATTAGATAAACAACAAGAACGAGGCAGACACGTCTGCTGTCAGACCTTGGACCCCTCTCTACTGAGCACTGGGGTCAGACGGGGAGGAGAGCCGATTTGCAGACACTGTCCCCCGGGGGTTTGTATACGGCAGCATTTGGCTGGGAGGCGCCAGGCGGGGCTCACCCAGGCCTGGTTCATGTTGAGCAGATTGAACTAGAAGCTCTTTAGGAGAAAGCACCCCAGGTCATCCGGCCGTTAGCTGGGGCTGTGACCTCTGACGTAAAGGAACCAGAGCTGCCTTCTTTCCCTGTGCACACATCCGAAGCTTCTGTGGACGTACTCAGACTTCCCAGACCTGTGCTGCTCCTCTGGGAGAGGGAGATGCTGCAGACTGGACAAGCAGCAGGGATTGTGAGCCTGGTGCGCTTAGGGGGCCAGGCTGCTCCGAAGGGACCGGCCTGGAGAGGATTCATTTCCAGTGGATCCTGTGTGTCTGCAGTCCTGTGCAGTTTTCCTTGTTCACTGTTCTGTGAGCATCTCCAACACTTGTATTCTCCAGCCTAACGCCTCGGGGAGCAGGCAGGTTTCTCCTCACCTCCCTGAGTACTCGGGACCTTTGGAGGGTCCTCAGTCACCCCACAAACAACATACTCTTACTGAGACCCCAGTGCAGATGCATAAGAACGGGCTCTTGTATCAATCTGTTGGTATTTTAAGAACAACTATTAAAATACTGTAGTTAGCCCTAGCTGGTTTGGCTCAGTGGATAGAGCAGCGACCCGTGAACTGAAAGGTCCCAGGTTCGATTCTGGTCAAGGGCACAGGCCTGGGTTGTGGACTCAGTCTCCAGTGGGGGACTTGCAGGAGGCAGCTGATCCATGATTCTCTCTTATCTTGGATGTTTCTATCTCTTTCTTCTTCCTTTCTCTCTGAAAGCAATAAAAATATATTTAAAAAATAAAATAAAATACTGTAGTTAATTTATTTTTTTCAGGTCTATTATACTACCATGTTTCCCCAAAAATAAGACATCCTCCAAAAATAAGACCTGCATCCTGAAAATAAGACCTAGGGCAACTTTGGGAGAAAAAATTATAAGACACTGTCTTATTTTCGGGGAAACAGGGTAGTAATTGTTTTTAGTACTAATCACATTTTCCTTCCAAAGAGTAAAGTTGGAAATCTCTTTATAAGGGTATTTATTCTTATCACATATCCTGTTTATGTAAGAAACTGAAAAATGGATGAGAATGTTGTAAAGGACAATTGTGGATGCATAGGATCAAGGTTACGTTGAGAAGATGCAGTGTTTAAAATAGAAATTGATAGTTTTTGCTTTTTCTCCTTCTTTCCAACAGGTCTTATTCCACTGCTGGGGATTGACGTGTGGGAGCATGCGTATTACCTCCAGTATAAAAACGTCAGGCCTGACTACCTGAAAGCTATTTGGAATATCATCAACTGGGAGAATGTAGCGGAGAGATACAAGGCGTGCAAAAAGTAAACGTCACCTTGACACTGAGCACAGAAAGCTCTGGCTGCTTTTGTGGCAGCGCAGAGCGCCCCCTGCACCTGTCAGCTGCTCTGTCGTTTCTGACTGTAGCTCATTCAAGTATTTGATAAACACAGTTTAGTGCTAGGACTCACTCCTGTTAAAAGTTTTGTTATTGGGCATCCATTTGAAGATACTAAATGCTTTGTATGATTTAGCTTTTTGAATGCACATTTTCTTCAGAGAGCTAAAATCCCCGGAGGTTATAAATGTCATCATAAAAGCCGTCCAAAGAATCACACCCCTCTCCGGCTGGGGCCCCTGTGGAAGCCTTTCTGCTCTGTTCTGCACTTAGAGAAAACCTAGACTTTTGCCTGAGTTGTTTAATAATAAAATACTACATTTTTTCCCAAGGGAAATATTTAGTTTTCTATTGGCAATTGTTTGTTTTGTAAGTAATCCTATGTCTAATGTTATTTCTGGTAGATATCACCAACGGTCTTTAATTGTTTTTGATCACAAGTTGCACAGAGTTAACACCATTTTGTCATTAAAGAAATGTGATTGCTAATTGAGCATTGCTTTGTTGTGAGAAGGAGCTAGCTGTGCATCTGAGTTTTTCTATAGGGGCAAATAAAAGACGGGTGTGAAGATTTGTCCTCAGGCACAGAAGTGTGTGTTGTCTGAGTGCCCAAAGGGTAGATGGGGCCAGGGGCTGTCTTCCCAGAAGAGCGGCGAGTGGCACTCAGTGGCGTGCCTCCTGCGGGAACATGGTGCTCAAAGACTATCTGAGTCATTGCGTCCGTTTTGATGTTTTTCCTTCCTTTTGGGTAACATACAGTCACTGTAGAAGCTTCATATTTTTGTGTGTTTTTAATGAAGGGAAAACTGCACATCCTACAGCAACACAGCCTATCAGATCGTGTTCTGTTCGGTGTGGCACAAGGAGCTGTTTCAGAATGGCACGTAGCTCAACATCGTGGTCCATCCTATGTTTCAGCATCCTATGTTAAGCACACATACTGAGATTTGCCTTCTCCGCCCTGGGAGGTGCTATGAGACCAAGATAATTTACTGAGTAAAGATTTCCATCCTCCCAGTGGAAAATGAGCAGGATGCTCTTCAGCCCTGTTATTTTTATAAGATGTTTTCATTGATTTCAGAGAGGAAGGGAGGAAGAGAGACAGATACATCAATGATGTGAGAGAATCGTTGATCGGCTGCCTCCTGCACACCCCACACTGGGGATCGAACCCACAACCCGGGCCTGTGCCCTGACTGGGAGTCGGTGCTCAACTCCTGAGCCGCTCCAGCTGGGCGACGTTGAGCACCTTTAAAAAGGAACAGCACAATCATAAAAGTAAGATGGATGTGCGTGCTGAGTCATGTCTAAAGCTAGGTATGAATTCAAACTTCGTTTCCTGTTTTAATTTCAGGGGAACTACCGTTTGGGACAGCTGTTAGGTGACTTATAAATTCTCATTTTCAGTCATACCCTATGACCCAGCAAGCTGATGTTCTGTCTTCTATATATGTATATAGTATATGTTAAGAACCCTGTAAGATCCTGGTGGTTTTCACTTAATTCTTCATTAGTGAAACATTTATTTTCCTGTTTTAAGTGTGAAGTTTTTAGGTTTTAGTAAAAGTCTGTCAGTTATCAAAAGAGGTGTGTTCCACATGTGTGTCAAACATGAGTCCTCCTCCAGTGCTTTCCTCAAATTGTGGGAAAGGAATGCTACATGGTAGGTAGGTTAAATTTACCCTCAGAACCCAGAAGGCATATGAACCCGATCTCCCTATCTGCAGTAACGTCATCTGGTAATGGAATAGCACAGTATTTTATCTACTAAGGCAGTGGTTGGCAAACTCATTAGCAGAGCCAAATATCAACAGTACGACGATTGAAATTTCTCTTGAGAGCCAAAGTTTTAAACTTAAACTTCTTCCAACGCCACTTCTTCAAAATAGACTCGCCTAGGCCGTGGTATTTTGTGGAAGAGCCACACTCAAGGGGCCAAAGAGCCGCATGTGGCTTGAGAGCCACAGTTTGCCCACCACGGTATAAGTTATAAAGTTAACACCTTGGAACATGAACCATACATGGAATATTGCCTGCACTCTGGAAAAACAGAATTATCACAAGATGCATGTTAGCAAACCTGGCCCTGTGTGAGAAGGGATGCTGAGGTCCCCTGGTGGTGGGGAGCCGAGCTTCCCTCAGGCCCGCTTCCCTGGCTGCCAGGTGATGCTTTGGGAAAGCAGGTGAGGTCTCGTGCGGCCGCGCCAGGTGCTGTGGCTCGTGGGCTTGAGTACTGCTCTCAGGTGCCTTGGGCACACGTTCTGAGAAACGTGATGCCTCAGTTCGACGTAAAGAATGAATGCTCTGGAGCTCCTGCTTCCTGCTAGACATTGTGTTTTTGGTGAGCCCGTATTAAAAACCCTCCCTATGAGGTCCTGGACAGCTTTCACTTCATTGTTCACTAGTAAAACATGTACTTTCCTTTTGTGATGCACAACTTAGTGATAATTCCACGTCCGCTTCTCCATGAAATGTGAGCTCCAGGCAGCCCCGTCAGAAGGTTCTTGTTCGTTGGTGTGTCTTTGGTATTGCCCACAAAATTCACATGTTTTTATTAAGTCACGTGATTTAGTAGAGTCACCATAATGTAAATAATGGTGCCTCCAAGGCTCATGAACACTGAACCCTGGTCTGTGTGACGGCCTGGCTCCTGGGGCTGCGAGGGCCCTCGCTCACTCCTCTCCTGCTGCTTGACTTGGCACATGGCACAGAGAGCAAGGCATTAGGTCCTGGGAGGCTGGGTCCTGGTGCCTTTACCCCACTCCGGTGTGGTACTGTCAGCCCGATGTGGGCCTCATTCCGCCCATGCAAAAGAATGGGTTTGGACAGAGGACATCAGGTGCCAGCTCTAGCATCTAGGGATTTATCTGTGTATTAACTAACATTATGGTGGATAAATGCAGGCTGATGCTCTAACCATTGAGCAAAACCACCTAGAGCAGTATGGGTATCATTTAAAAGATTCCCAGGTGACCCTACTGTGCCTCCAGGGCCGAGGGCCATGAACAGAGCCCTGTAGTGACAGAGCGGGACCCGCAGAGAAGCTGGAGTGTCCTGTCCCGTCTGCAGGGCTGCTTGGGGGTGGGTGGGTGGGGGGGAACGGGACAATCAGGCAGTGACATGCATCCACCATGAAAGTGCAAGACAGATCGGTCTTCGCCCTAACGACCCTCTGCTCCACCTGTTCACCCGGAAACCAGTCCTTTTATTGTCTCCACAGTTTGTCTTCTTCCCGAATGCCCTGTGGTTGGGATGGTACCGTCTGTCACTAGCTTTTCTCGTGCAGCAGCATGCATTGGCGGCCTCTCCTGCCTCTGCACGGTTCCACAGCTCACTTCCTCAGCACCGAGAGCATTCCCCTGTCCTGGTGCGGCCTCCAGCTCCGCCACCTGTCCCCCCTTTTCTCCCACGGCCTTCATTCAAAAGTGAATCCCCATAAAGAGCTCTATTCTCCCGCATCCAGAGCCTCCATTACCGTAAACAAACGGTGGGGAAAGCAGGTGTACAGTTATTATGGAAAGTAATACAATGATTAATAATATGAGAAACTAGACTAAACCTATTTTTGCCATACCCTGTATTTGCTCTAGAACCACTAGGAGGCAGCATTTACACGCTTTTCTCCCTCCAGGCACTGCTGAAAGCAGGGTTTAAGTAAACGCAGAATGTTCAGGGCACGGGAAGGACTTCAAGGAGCCTGCCTCCCTTTCCCCCCTGCCTGCCTCCCCATCCCTGCCCCTCACACACACATTACTAGTAATGAACCTTTTTTTTTTTTTTTTTTTTTTCATTTGGCAAAGGAGGTTCTTTTACTTTTTAAATTTTAACATTTCTTTTTATTTTGAAACAATATGTACATAAAAGCAATTACAGTACAAGAACCCTTTGTACTATAGCAGTCTTTTTGGAGGGTCTATGGACCATAGGATACCCCATTACCACCAAGTACTTTGTATTCCCGGCAAAAAATGATATTCTAGTACATTTGTACTAGGCAGCCTTCAAAATCAGGAAATTAACAATTACATGCTCTATCCTGTAATTCTCAGATATCATTCAACAATTGTCCCAATGATGCCCTTTATGGCAAAAGGATGCGGGCCCAGAATCACCGCTGTGTTTAGCTATCATTTCTCCTGCCTTCTACGCTGCGTGTGTGGCTAGGTCCCCATGTCGCAGACGCGGTGCAGACGGTGGTTCAGGGAAACACTCTTTTCTTTGTTTTGTGCCTCCACTGCGCTTGGCCTGGGGAGCCAGCCTGCATGCACCGTCTTGTGAAGGCCCCGCGCAGAAAGCTCTAAATCTGCCAAAGGTGAGCCTGTGGTATGCCGATTTCAGTCCGCCCTCACTAGTTCCCTTTCTTACTCATCTGAGAAGTAATTCCCTTTAGGCCAGAGCTCATTTTTCATCTTCTTTTTTCAGATTCTTTGTTCTGACTGATTTAGGTTACGGGATGGCACCCTCAGCTTTTCGAGCTTTTAAAGGAAAGCCGTGTGGGTGTCAGCCATGGTGCTGTAGGTGGGTTTTATCTTTTCCCCTTCCTGCCCAGGAGTTTCTTCCTGCAATCAGTGTAGGTTATAATTCTTTTTTTAAAAAAAGTATTTTATTGATTTTTCACAGAGAGGAAGGGAGAGGGATAGAGAGAAACATCGACCAACTGCTTCCTACACATCCCATTACTCCCCCCCCCCCCCCCCGCCCCCAGGGATGTGTCCAAAACCAAGGTCCATGCCTTTGACCGGAATTGAATCTGGGACCCTTCAGTCTGCAGGCTGACGCTCTATCCACTGAGCCAAACAAGCTAGGGCTAGGTTGTAATTCTTATTTCTTAAGTATTTCATTTGTTCCTTTCATCTCTTCCTTTTCCTGGGAAAATCCACTGTTCTCTAAGCGTTAGTGTGATGCTGCCCATTTCAGACACCTGAGTCAGACCGGCCATTCCTCTGTGCTCTGCCTGCCCTCTCTGTCCTGACACTTACAGTTTGCTTTTAGGTCTCTTCTCTCCGTGAAGCTTTGAGTTTCTTCAGAGTAGGAATCAGGTCTTGATTAATTTTGTACCCTCATAGCTTATCTCAGGGCTTGGCATTTAGCCCGTGATCAACTTAAAAAGGGAAACACTGGCCCGGCCAGTACGGCTCAGTGGTTGAGCATTGACCAAGAGGTCCCAGGTTAGATTCATGGTTGGGGCACTGGCCCGGGTTGCTGGCTCCATCCCCAGTAGGAGGCGTGCAAGAGGCAGCCGATCCATGATGCTCTCTCATTGATGTTTCTCTCTTTTTCCATCTCCCCTCCTCTCTGAAATCAATAAAAATCTATTAAATAAAAACACTGGTGAGCATTATCGCTGGTGTCCTTAATGCCTACAACTTGCACTTAAGGGCCCCCCGTCCTTGTGTTGAAGTGGACCTGACATTGTCCTCCGGGGAGGAGGGTGGCCCTGCCTCCTGCTGTCCCTCGGGCCCTCCCTGCGGATGGAGCGGCCTCCTGCTCACCGCACTGTGGTTGGTTCACTTCAGCCCAGCTGCTGAGGGAGGTGCTGGAGGCCCTGTCACTGCAGAGTAGAAGCTGCACTCCAGGTGGCTGTCAAACCTCAGACTTCCTGCCTGCCCATGTTCGTAAAGACCGAGAAAACGCATTTGTGGAGTCTGTCCGAAGCATCCCTGCGTGTCCATGGCATGGCCCTGCATCAGGTCGCTTCTGCTCCCCCTCATTCTCCGCGTGCTGAGCAGGAGGATGACACAGGTGCTGCAGTCCATCTGGCCTCTAACATTTGTGAGATCCTCTTTCTCTCTCCCCCCACCCCCTCCTGGTGCAGCTACAGGAGAATTCCCCCTCCCCCCACCCCCTCCTGGTGCAGCTACAGGAGAATTCCCCCTCTTCCCCCACTCATGGTGCAGCCACAGGATAATTCCCCCTCACAAGACAGCGTCAGTTCAGCTGTGTCCTGAGCGGCTGGCTGGTTTTCAGATAAGATTATGAAATGTCTGACTTGTGTGACTTCCAAGTTTGTGGTGGTTTTGTGTGTGTGTGTGTGTGTGTGTGTGTTGACTGCCCGAAAGCTCGTCTCTGCCAGCTCCCAGGCACACACCATGGCCGGTCATTACTCCGCTGTCAGCATAACTGCTGGGTTCCTGGTGATTTCCTCTACCAGACCGTTAGGCAGAGGCTGTAGTACCCACAGCACTGCCCTTGCACTTGATAAATATTGGCTGGATAAGTGAATACATTGACCCAGGGTGACACTTTTTATTTCCTTTACCGCCATAATGTGGGAGCCTCACATTAGGAACCTCTGTTCAGAGAGCCACAGGCAATTGTATTATTGCAGAACAACCTATCTATGTAAACACACATTGCAAGACTAAATTTCATGCCTGCAAGGTGTGGGCCAGGGCACCAGCTTTGGTCATGATTTAGCAATGATCTGAAATGTCCCTACTCTGCCAATTTGGTAGAAAATCAGAAAGAGGATTTCAGAGACATGGTAAGATTAGATAAGGACACCCATTGAGTGTGTGTGTGTGTGTGTGTGTGTGTAAGTGAAAGAATTAAGGAGATGAGTTGAGTGTGTTTTTTTAAAAATAAAATATATTTTATTGATTTTTACAGAGAGGAAGAGAGAGGGATAGAGAGCTAGAAACATTGATCAGCTCCTCCTGCACACCCCCTACTGGGGATGAGTCCACAACCAAGGTACATGCCCTTGACCGGAATCGAACCTGGTTCCCTTCAGTCCGTAAGCCTACACTCTGTCTTTTATCCACTGAGCCAAACCAGTCAGGGCTGAGTGTGTTTTTTTAAGCATGAATGATTTTATTACATTTAATAGAAATATGTAAAAATTCAAAGCTATATAAAAACAATATTTACAGATCTTATACAACTATAAAAATCAAATAACTGTATCATTTAATGCAAACAAAATTCGAAGTCATAATTCAAATGAACCGCATCCGTGAAACTAAATCTCATCTCCCGTGTGAACACTGTACCTGACCTCCTCCCGCCCCCGCCCCTGAGGCCTCCTTGGCAGGCGTCCCACACTCCCCAAGCTCCCCCCGCTCTGCTCACGCTCTCCTGCACGCACACGCTGCGAAACAGACACCCCTCTGCCTCTGCAACGCAGCGCGCCTCTCACCCTCGTGGGTTAAAATGCCTCATCGATCTGGGCAGCTCATTTCTTGCTCAGCCACCAACTTCATGGTCCTGCCTGGCGGCCGGCATCAGCAAGCTCACTGCGAAGGAGAGTGTTCTGTTCTCCTCAGGCCTAAGGCAGACTTCCAATTGCCCAGAAAGTGAAGTTTCCATTAAAATGTTTATATTACTACTGAAGTAAAACATTTACTAATTAGTGTAGAAAAACTTGAGAGTATTCAAATATATCCGAGGTCTGTAGTTAAAAACATTTGGAGAGCCGAGACTGGTTTGGCTCAGTGCATAGAGCAGCGGACTGCGGACTGAAAGGTCCCAGGTTCGATTCCATTCAAGGGCATGTACCTTGGTTGTGGGCACATCCCCAGTAGGGATGTGTGCAAGAGGCAGCTGATCGATGATTCTCTCTCATTGATGCTTCTGACTCTCTATCCCTCTCTCTTCCTCTCTGTAAAAAAATCAATAAAATATATTAAAAAAAACAAAAACAAAAAAAACAAAAACATTTGGAGAAATAGCCCTGGCTGGCGGCGCAGTTGGTTGGAGCATCGTCCAGTCCAGCAAATGGTGTCGGGTTTGATTCTTGGTCAGGGCGCATACCTAGGTCTTGGGTTCCATCTCTGGTCGCGGTGGGTATGGGCGGCAACCAACTGACCTTTCTCTTGCACGTCTATGTTTCTCTCTCTCTCCATCCCTCCCCTCCTCTTTCTCTAAAACCAATAAAAACATATTGTTGGCTGAGGATTAAAAAATATTAGGAGAAATAGTTACTTATTGCCTATTCATTCAAACCCAAATAATCCAATTGGTATTATTTCTTTGTGTGTGTGTGGTGTGTGTGTGTGTGTGTGTGTGTGTGTATGTGTGTGTGTGTGGTGTGGTGTATGTGTATGTGTGTGTGTGTGTGTGTGTGTGTGGTGTGTGTGTGTGTGTGTGTGTGTGTGTGTGTATGTGTGTTGGGGGGGATAAAGGAGGAGGACAGAAGAGAGAGAAGTTATTCTTTAAATATAATTGTTTACTTTAAGTTGGCCCTTAATTAAAAAAATATGTTTCTATTAATTTCAGAGAGAGAAAGGGAGAGGGACAGATAGAAACATCAGTGATGGAAAGAATGATCAGTTGGCTGCCTCCTGCATGCCCTCCACTGTGGATCGAACTATGACCTCCTGGTCCATGGGTCGATGCCCAACCACTGAGCCACACTGGCCAGGCTGGTCCTTACATTTTGATGCCAACATAATCTCTCTTGGGATCTTTGAGGAGGATCAGGCTGTATGCTTGCCTCTGTTTTTAAGATTTTGAACATGAAGTTGGACTTCTTGAGATGGAAGGTCGATGTAGTTCTGGTAAGAAAATAGAAGGATTTGAGAACGCATGTCTTTCCCAAGACTATTGCTTTTTATTTTCCACTTAAGTCAAATATTTTAAGGTTTTCTTTGGAGACGGTGCTTACCATTTTGTCATATTCTAGACCATTCATTAGGTATTTTACCTAAAACTTACTGATGCTTGTCTAGATGACAATAAATGGGTTTATTATCTGTTTCCAGTCTTTAGTAATTGCCATGTTTTACTTTCCTGACTTCACACAAATGTTTTCTGAAGTATTCTTCAAAAATACAGTATATACTGCCAAAGAGTGTATTTGTTTTAAATTTGAGTTTTTGAACTCTAACATCTGTGAACACTTGAAATGGAATTATGTTTCAAAATCTAATTGTGAAATTAATGTGGAGTCTACATCTTGAAAATGTATGAGAGCCTCAATAGTTAGAGGGCCGTATTAAATTCAATTTCATGTTTTATTTTCTAGTTTTATTTATAGAGAAGTTCTCCTGGTTTATGAACAAAACATGTTAGATATTAATTAGCAAAATACACAAATGTTAAAGTTTAGTTTTTATGTTTAATCCTGTCTTTGGGAAACAGCAAAAGTGTATTAAAGTCAGACCATCATATAAAACTTTGATATGTGAACATGAATTTCTACTTCATAGTCCAAATCTGTGACGGTTTGGGACACAATTTATTATTTGACTAGAGGCCCAGTGCACAGAGTTCATGCATGGGTGCCGTCCCTAGGCCTGGCTGGCGATCGAAGCAGGAGTGTCTGGCGCGGAAGGGCAGGTCCCAGCTGACCTCTGGGCCCTGGGCAGCACCTGGATCCCGGCCACTGCGTGCACCCCTCCTCCTGAGTCTCAGGGCCTGAGTCCTCACATGGAGGTAATTATGTAGGAAAATGTACTGCTTGGAAGCTGGGCAGGCGACACGTTCTCTCTCGGCTGGCCTTGCAGACCCGCTCCTGCCTGGCCCCTGCAGTCCCAGCAGCTGCGGCCCAGCTCACCGGGAAGGCCCTGTACGGGTGCGGGGGCTCCCCTGGCACGTGTGAGCCCTGACATGCCAGGGGAGGGTAGCAGGGGGATTGAGAGCGAGCTTGGCGGACACCAGACATTCTCACTGCACCTCCATCCCTGTCACCTCTGGCCTCAGGCAGCCAGTGAGAGGTTGCAGTGTGTTGTGAATTTCCGCAATGGTCCATGTCGCCCCCTGGTGGTCAGCACATGTCATAGCGAGCCATTGAACTGTTTGAATTCCCGGTTGAGGGGATAATTTGCATATTAGGCTTTTATTACATAGGATTATTTTTAGTTTTCATCCAGATGTTTGGCCTCATGTAGGCCTGGCCCTAGGGTAATAGGGCTAACAGACATTGACTCTGCCATTGTGCTGTCCTCAGTGTCATTCCTGTTTACTTAGTCTTGCTGGCTAGTTTTATTGGGGCTTTTAAAATCCCACCCCAAAACTTTCCCCCAAAGCACTGGAGTTTCACTGCCACAGGGAGAGACTGTTAATATAATATAGGTAAAGGGTCATCCCCTCAAATGCTGACTTTCCCCCTCCTAGTTAAGATAATGTTAATGTACTCTATTTGCATGTATGTGTACCTGCCATTATACAACGTTATTGTCCATATCACTACTTAATTTGTTGACACATTTTACAGTATGCAAACGCAAACTTAAAAGTCACGTTAGAAGTTTCAATTGGCATTTTACGTTTTTCAAGGTGTTTGAGCGTATAAACAGACAGGTGCACTGGGTTAAGCATTCAGTGACAAACATCATGTTGAGCCATGAGACTGGAGGTTGGTCCGAAATGAGGGTGAATCAGGGTGTTTTCATTGCAAAAAAAAAAACCCCAAACAAATCCCACCTCACACTGGCTTCGCTAAGGAGGATAGTGAATGGCTCATGTTGTAGAAGTCCGAGGACGTGGTGGGCTGGTCCAGCCACCCAGTGTGCACTTCAAGGGTTTTCTACCTGTAGCCTCTGACATCTGCAATGTCAGCTTCATGCCAAGGCTCCTGTTCTGAGTAGCTGTGGTTTGGATGCTTCCCAGCTAGGGCCCTGTGCCCTCCAAAGGGTCTCAGTCCACGGACAGATGGACAGACGCCTCTGGGATTACAGTTTTGTGGGAGAAGTGGTTAGGAAAAAAAAGGTTCTAAAAAGGCTTTTTGTGGGAAGGGTGGTCATGGGGGGAGGTGGATAAAACCGAGACTAATAAACAGGTCACCTCAAAGCCGAGGAAGACGGGCTTTGGCCAGAGACACCTGGAAAGAGGTGACCTTCCTTAGGGCCCAAAGGTGCCCCGTGGAGAGTGAGCGGGCGGCCCAGCGGCTCTGTGGCTCCACCGTGAGCCTCGCTCACCGTGGCAGACCCTCTTCACTTTGCCCACAGCAATCCAGAGACTCCCGGAGCCCCTCGTCCTGCCAGCCCTGCCTGCTCCTGCTGGGGTCTCAGCTGGCACGCGAAAGGGTTAGGACGAGGGTAGGAGTTTAATTATGGACAGGTCCGCCTGGCAGAAACCTGCTTACTCCATCGAGGGAGTAAGTCAGGAATATGGGTCA